AGCAACTTGGTAAAGACACACAGTAAGTGAGATTTGAACCCTTGCAAGCTAACTCCAAGGCTGATGGTCTTAATTGCTCTGCTCTGTCTTCAGTTTCACTGCAATCAACTTTCTCTGCCTTGTGCTTCTATGGTAAAAGGTTTAAAGACTTCAGAGGTTCTCTCTAATCTTTAAAGTGTTATTAAAAATATCTCATTTATCAATTCTATTTGTTTTCAACAAGATCATCAGTGAGCGTAAGAAACTATCATATTCCCTTTCTTCACAAACCAGCCTTTCAACTCTCGTCACCTTCCACATAGTGCACACTGTTTCTTGTATTGCTCCAGAGACTTTTCAATTTTGGTGAGTACCTGCTTTCCATCAGTAACAAACTTTATCAATCAGTCTCTCCCCTTCCACAGCATCATAGAGATACAATTGATTTATAACATTGTGTAAGTTTATGTGCTTGTTGATTTGATACATTTACATATTGCAAAATGACTACTACCATAACATTCTGTTCTGTCATGTAATTGCCATTTTTGTTTCTTGTGGTGAGAACATTTCAAGTCTATTCTCTTCGTAATCTTCACGTATATGATACAGTACCATTAGCTATAATCACCATACTATACATTGGATCCTCAGAAATTGTGGATTTTATAATTGTGGAAATTTGTACATTTTGATTAACATCTCTCCATTTGTCTTACCCATCAGCCTCTGGGAACGACCACTCTACTTTGTTTCTGACTTCAGCTTCATTAGATTCCTCTTATAAGGGGTATTGTACATTATCTGTCTTTTTCTGTCTGACTTCTTTCACTTAATAATATGTTCTCAAGTTTTATCTAAGGTGTCACAATGGCAGAATTTTCTTCTTTCTTATGGCTGAATAATAGTTTATTATTCATCAATATTTATTCATTTATTATAATATTATTTGTATTGAATATATATTCAATTCATATATCATGTCTTGTGTCTTCATTCATTTGTAGAAACACACCATGTTGTGGTGTTATGCCCGAATCGCGAGTCCCCAGAGACCTCCAAGGAGCCGTCACCGATGCAAGAACAAAAGGGTCTTTATTACAAGCTGGAGCAGGGGTTCACCCATCTCCCAGGGCAGCAGCAGCAGGTGGAGCCCCGAACAGTGGCAAGCAGGGTTTTTTTGGGGAAGGGCGGGGGTGTTACCGTGCACACTTGTATGTTTTGCATCATTACATAAGTACCAATCATAATTGTACAATGCCCATAGTAACACATTGTAACAGTTTTGACCATTCAGTATCTGCGAGGCGTTCGTTTCATTTGGCGGGACCCAATCATGACCTTTGAGAGTCTTTGAAAATGGACCAATTATGAGGTGGGCTCAGAGAATCTAGGTACGGCTTCTGCAAGCGTGATTGATTGGCAAGTTTGTACAAAGTAACTACCTGCAGTTCCCAGCCCTGACTCGTCTCCAAGACTACTGGAATGTTACACATTTTTTTTGATTTGCAGATCTGAGGGTGGTCAGAGGGTGGCTTCATCTTAGGCTTTTCCTGGAACTGGGACTATGTTCAGCCTGAGGTTGTTTCTAATGGAGGACTTAATTTCATGCTCCTCAGTGGATCATGTTGTGATGGGTATGGGGGTGCCAATATTGTAACTGCTCAGTTAAATTTATTCCTTTGTATTTTATTGTTTTTATGCTATTGTAAATGGATTGTATCCTCACTTCTTTCTCAAATGTTTTGTTGTTAGTGTATAGAAATGTTAATTGTTTTCTGTATGTTGATTTATATCCTGCAACCATACTGAATTTGTAGCACAGCTTTTTTGTTGTTTTTGTTTTTTTGTGGGTTTTTTTTTTTTTGGTGGAATCTTCAGGATTTTCTCTATATAGGATCATATCTGCAAACAGAGACATTTTATTTTTCCTTTCTTATTTGGATGCTCTTTTTTTCTTGCCTGACTGCTCTGTCTAGGATTCTTAATTATCCAAATAGAAGTGGGGATCATTGGCACACTTGTCTTACTCCTCATCTTTGATGAAAAACTCAAACTTTCACCTTTGAATATGTTACTGACCATGGGTTTGTCATATATTGCCCCTGCTATGTTGAAGTATGTTTCTTCAATACTCAATTTCTTGAGAGTTTCTACCATGCAATGATAATGTACCTTGTTACATGCTTTTTCCTACATCTATGGAGATGATCATATGATTTTATATTCTATTCTTTTAATGTGGTATATTACATTTATTGATCTAAATGTAATTGATTTAGATAGGTTGGCTCATCCCTACAACCCAGAGGTAAATCCCACTCAATCGTCGTGTATGCTCCTTTTGATATACTGTTGTGTGTTCTGTGTGCTCAGTGTGCTCATGTATCCTCAAGAATTTTTACATCTGTACTCATTGGGAATATTGGTCTATAATTTTCGTTTCTTGTGGTGTCCTTATCTGGCTTTGGTATTAGGGTTACGTTGGCCTTGTAAAATGAGTTTGGAAGTGTTCCTTCCTCTTCATTTGTCTGAAAGAGGTTGAAAAGGATTAGCATTAAATCTTTAAATATTTAGTGGGATTCACCAGTGAAACCTTCTGATCCTGAGCTTTTCAGGTGTGGAAGGGTTTGGATTACTGCTTTCATTTTCTTACTCATTATAGTTTGTTCAAATTTTCTCTTTCTTCATGATTTAGTCTTCGTAAATTTTAAGTTTTTAGGAATTTATCCATTTCTTCTAGATTATCCAGTTTGTTGTTTCTGTGATATCTGTTGTAATGTCCCCTCCCTCTTTTCTCATTTATTTACTTGGGTCTTCTCTCTTTTTTCATAGTCTAGCTAAAGTTTTGTAAATTTTGTTTATCTTTTTTTAAAAAACAGCTCTTAGTTTTATTGACCAGTTTTGCTTTTTTTCCATCTCTATTTCATTTATTTATGGTATGATCTTCGTTATTTCTTTCTTTTTGCCAGCTTTGGGCTTAGTTTATTCTGTTTCTAACTCCTCGAGATAAAAAGTGAAGGTTTTATTGGAAATATTTCTTGTTTCTTAATGGTAGCACTTATAGCTATAGACTTCCCTTTTAGAACTGCTTTCAAATCGTTGTATAGGCTTTTTAAATTTTTTTAAATATTTATTTATTTATTTTGACAGGGAGAGAGAGAGAGAGAGAGAGCGAGAGCACACAAGTGAGGGAGAAGAGAGAGAGGTAGAAAGAGAATCTGAAGGTGGCTCCGCACTGTCAGCACAGAGTTAGGTGCTCAGGGCTTGATCCTGTGAACTGCCAGATCATGACCTGTGCTGAAATCAAAAGTCAATCGCTCAGCTGAAAGAGCCACCCAGATACACCTAGTGTCTCCATTTTATTTTATTTTATTTTTAAAATATTTTTTAATGTTTATTTACTTTTGAGAGAGAGAGATCACAAGTAGGGAGAGGCAGAAAGAGAGGGAGACTTGGAATCTGAAGCAGGTTCCAGGCTCTGAGCTGTCAGCACAGAGCCTGATGCAGGGCTTGAACCCACAAACTGTGAGATCATGACCTGAGCTGAAGTCAGGTGCTTAACCAACTGAGCCACCCAGGTGCCCCTATAGTCCCCATTTTGGATAAGAAAACTGATATAACATTAAGTACCTTGTCCAAGGACACAACACTCACAGGGGCTGGAGGAGGGTTTTCAATCCAGAAAGTCTGGCTTTGTAAGTACTTTCTTTATCTCTGTGGTCTACAGCCTATGAAAAGATATGATCCTTAAGTAATTCTAGAAATTAAATTAGATAATAGAAGTACTCTAATTCAGAGGATTAAATAATGCTGAGATTCCTAGTACATAGTAAATGCCAAAAAAAAAAAAATGCTCAGTAACATTCTGTTATGAAAATAGAGACTCCAATTTCAAGCAGTTTATAAGGATTATCAACTTTATACAAATCTATTATGACTTATAAACAATGTTTTATTTGCTAGCACCCAAACTCTTTGAATACTGATGGCATGAGTTCAACTAAAAAGAGAAAAGTTGTAGCTGAAATGAAGGGAAATAAAATGAAATTTTATGTTAAAAACAATAGCCTGTTTTATATAGGATGTGTCTGCCACCCCTCAAAAAACACGTAAAAACCAGTTAGGGAGGTAGCAGACTACTACATGTTTCTGGATCTCTCTGTCCAATGTTCATTTCCAAATCCCCTAAATGAAGGAATTATTTTTATAAACTTGCACTTGTGAGAATATTCAAGATTTAGTGGAGTGGAGCATCTGCTCTACAGATACTTCCCGTGGGTTTTCTCTCATTCCCCCAAAGGAGCACATGCCCCTATATGTTGCAGCACGCACTCTCAGAACCTCCCAGGGTTCAGGATTTACTTCAGTGACCCCTGATCGGCATAAATCATGCTTCTTCTGGAATGTTCATGCCACCATGACAAAAGAGAAAATAAAGAGATCCATTTTCAAGATTGGCAAGACCATCTCTGCTGTGAGTGACAGTTGTTCTTTATTAAGTCTATGAAATGTACATGTAGGAATGGACAACATGACTGAGAAATGACTCCTATAAATGACTGAGTGTCTTATGTAATAAGCAGAGGATAATCTTACACCCTATGGCTGTGAGTTGCAATTTACTTCACCAGTTTTTAAAGGCAAACACTCGAATGTGTTTTCCTTTTCTATGTGGTATTCTCAAACTTCATTATAATACCTTCACAAGCCAGGTTATTTGTAGTATGAAGCACGGAGTTAGAAAGTGACAGTGAGATGATGGATATGGACAGATTCTTCTGATGGGGCCAGTGATCTAATAACAAGGTTTCATTTGTAGGCATACATATGTCTGTCTCCATTTCAGAGCAAATGTAACTCCTGAAAAATAAAAACATTGGTCTAATATAGAACGAGCTGCTGTGCTAAATTAAATCGTTTCTTCAAACTTTATATTAAGGCAGAGAAAAACTCATTCTTAATCAGCTGTTTTTTTTTCTTTTTATTTTTTTCTGAGAGGTATCTATCTTTATAGATCCATGCCTGTTCAACCTGATTCCAAAATCAGTAACTCCACCTTTGTCCTTACAGGTTTCCCTGGCCTGGAACGAGAATACCCCTGGCTCTCCATTCCTTTCTCCTTTATCTATGCTATGGTACTCTTAGGAAACTGCCTGGTGCTGCATGTGATCCGGACAGAGCCAAGCCTACACGAGCCCATGTTCTACTTCCTGGCCATGCTGGCCCTCACTGACCTGTGCATGGGGCTGTCCACAGTGCACACAGTGCTCGGGACACTGTGGGGGATCAGCCAAGAGATTGGTCTGGATGCTTGCATTGCTCAAACCTTCTTGGTTCATGGTCTATCATGCATGGAGTCTGGAGTCCTTCTTGCCATGGCCTTTGATCGCTTCACTGCCATCTGCAATCCTCTGAGATACACATCCATCCTCACCAATATGAGAATCATCAACATTGGTGTGGCCATTTTAGGGAGGAGTTTCCTGTTCATCACTGCTCCCATTTTCCTCCTAAAGTTCTTTGATTACTGCCTTCCTCATATCCTCTCCCATTCCTTCTGCCTGCACCAAGACTTACTTCGGCTCTCCTGCTCTGACATCCGCTTCAACAGCCTCTATGCATTAGCCCTAGTGATCTGCACACTGTTTTTGGATTCAGTGCTCATTCTCGTCTCCTACATCTTGATCCTGCATTCAGTCTTGACTATTGCATCCCGGGAGGAGCGGCTCAAGTCCTTGCAGACCTGTGTTTCCCATATCTGTGCTGTTCTGGTTTTCTATATCCAATTATTGGTCTGACTATGGTGCATCGATTTGGAAAGCACCTCTCTCCTGTGGTCCATGTCCTCATGGGCAATGTCTATATCCTTTTCCCACCCTTGATGAACCCTATCATCTACAGTGTCAAAACCCAACAAATACGTAGCAGGATCCAGAGATGGCTCACTAAACAAAACTGAGTGCTAGAAGTTAATGTGTTCTAAGGAAAGAAGGTAGTATTTGCAGGAGGAATTACTAATAATGATTTGAACCAGAAATAATAAATGTATATGTAACATTTAACAGACTAAAAGCATATTTATAGTCATTTCTTAATTTTGTTTTCCAAAGCCAGAGAAATAAGCAAAGAAGTGTTACTGATCTCATTCCCTAATTTTAAAATTAAGTATAATGTTATCCACAGTGAATTCTGTTTCATAGTGTATCAGTGATCACTTGCCTGGGTAGTTACTAAGTTTACAGTACCATCTGTGTTTTTTGAATTCTAGTTCAACATGTGATTTTATTTTTCATATAACTAGTAAATCTGTATATTTACTTGTATGGGACAAATAGCCTTTATATATTTTTACCATGTTTCACAAATTGACTCTGTTGAGTTTGTTGAGAAGGAAAATTTTACTCTATTTAAAACTAGTCTAATAATTACATTGGCAGGAGACAGATTAACAGAAGAAAGAAAAAAAAAAAAACAAAATTTAACTACTGCACACCAAGGTCCATTGTAAAATTAAGACCAGAGGAAATGACCAAGGCATGAAGCTTTTATACATTTTAGACAAAGAAACATATTATCTGTGAGGACTTGACAGGACAAAGAATACTTATGCTCAGGAGCTTTCATTAGTAAAGAATTCTAAATGTAGACTTGAGTTGGGGCTGGGGTAATAAATTAGTAAAGGTTACAAGATTTATTTATATAGGCTACTTTGGCCCTGAATTCCCTGTCTCTGATGATAAGGATGTCTCTTTACCTCTTGATGCAGAGAAGGTACCTTTCATATGGGAGATGTGCTTCCTGCTTTCCTGAGGCATAGAGTCAGTATTTTTGCTCTGGCTGTTTTTTAAGTAAGTTTAATTCAACATAATCTTTATGGCATTGTGGTATACTTTGGGACAGCCTTCCTTAGGTCTCTACAAGATCATTCACACTTCTTCTGTATATGTTTAAGCAAAAGTGTCTGGAAAGCCCATTCTGTCTCACCTAATAGAATACAGGATTGGTAGATTAGACTACACAGTTTAATGTAAAAGATTTGGTTAACAGTGACTGAATCAGCTATCATATCTCTACAGAGTCTACCATGTACTCCCAACTCTATATTTTACAATACTCATGAGAGTTGTCAACTGACTTTAATTTTGGTGTCAACGTACATGAAAATTTAAAGACATTTAATCAACCTTTTTATCTTTAAGGTAGGATGCTAAGGCACATACATATTATGTAAAACATCAGTACTTAAACTTGGGATAGAGGGGCGCAGTGGGTTGAGCATCCAACTTCGGCTCAAGAAATAGTCTCATACACATGGGTTTGGGGGCCATGCAGGGCTCTGCACTGGAAGCTCAGAGCCAGGAGCCTGCTTTGGATTCTTTGTCTCCTTCTCTCTCTGCCCCTCTTCCTCTCTCACTCTCTCTCTCTCTCTCTCAAAATAAATAAATATAATAAAACATTTTTAAATAAAAATTAAAAAGCTGGGGATAGAATTGTGGTTTTGAGAATCTTTTGAATGTATATTCCATTTCTAAGTCTCATCCTCTTCCATAGGTAAAATTAGGAAATTCAAGTCAATAATAAAATGGGGATATTACTTTTTTTTTTGTTTCTTGCTTTTTAAAAAAACATTGACCTCTTACTAAATTAAAAACAAAAAGTAAAAAAAAAATAGTATCAATCTCAAGATTTTTTAAAAATTTCTTTTAATATTGTCACCTCATCACAGCTATATCAAACCATGCCTGAGGCAGCCAAGTTCTCAGCAGAGGGTGATTACAGTTAGGCTTCAGAGATGGGAGGGGTGTACATCTCGTTGCGCATTTACCTTCAGGTATATGAAGTTCCATCATCGGTATTTTGACAAACAGGGAAACATTGAATTTTGAAAACTAATGTTTGGTCTGTTACCTTTAATTTGTCTTTTAGTGTTTTATTAGAAAATTGATATGCTTTTTAGATTAAAAGATGCCACACTCATGTTTGTTACTCTTGCCTTTCAGACCGTCACAGTTTAAAGCCCACACATCCCTGTATCTCAGTCTACCTAAATAGCTCTGCCCATGACAAACTACTTTACCCTGATGCTCCTCTGTTGAGCTCTCTGTAATGGTACTTCTTTATTCAGAATGCCTGCCTCTCCCATCAGTCCTATTTCTCTCTGTGAAGCTCATTTCTGAAAGAAACTCCTTGCCAATCATTGGCAATTGAGCTGTTCGGGTTACAGTGGAAAATAAAAGATCTTATTTCCCCTTTTTGTTAGGGGAATTTGAGAAAAAGGATGGAAAGGAAACTTCATATTACTATATTATATATCATCAATATTATAATATTAATTGATGGTGAAAATATGTGATCTTTAGCATATATGCATTAAGTTTTACATTAAACAAAATTTTGGGGGACACCTACGTGGCCTAATTGCTTAATCATCTAACTTTGACTCAGTTCATGATCCTCTGGTTCAAGAGCATGATCCCCACATCAGGCTCTCTGCTGTCAGCTCGGAACCCACATCGGATCTTCTGTCTCCTTCTCTTTGCCCTTTCCCCCCAAAAATAAAAATAGAAAACACTTGAAAATATTTTATGGATATTAGAAGTCAGGTTTTGGAGTAAGAATAACTATTTGAGTTGTCCAAGGGCAATAATATTACCCCCACTTGATACCACAGTAAAATGGGTTTAGTGAACTTTACACTTTGCCTAAATTGAGCTTTTATTTTTCCCCATGAATATTTCTAGGTAAAGAAGTTTTCCTATAGTTTCCCATAAAATTTCAATGTCTTCACTCTAAAAACTGAGCAGAGATTACAATAGAGTGAATGAACCCAAGTGAATAATAGTGAAAAGGAAAAAGTTTCATACAGAGTTAAAATTCTGTGCTTACATATTTATCCTTTATTTTAATTAAATTGCACCTAAAGTGATAACAGAATTAAAAGTTAGCTATTAATGCATTATATCTGTGTATGCGGATATATATCAACATATGTATATTTGTATTTATACACACATATGTATATATTCAGTTGATCCTTATTATTTACAGATTCTGTCTGTGAATCCACCTACTTGTTCAAATATATTTGAAACCCCAGAATCAATGCCCCCAGTGTTGTCACCATCAGTGGACATATGCAGGGCAGCAAAAGCTTTGAGCTGCCTGACACACCTGTTCCCGGCTGAGGCTGGACACGATGAAGCTCTACCTTCTTGTTTCATCTCTAATACAAATAAATGAGTATCTGTTTTTGTGGTATATCTACTGCTCTGTTTTCTTCTTTTTTGTTGTTGGTGATGTTGACTGTTAAAATGGTCCCCGAGCATTATGATGAAGTTCCTAAACTCAAGGCTGTGATCCATTTTACAGAGGCAATAAGTGTGTCAGATAGGCTCCCTTTAGGCAGGAGTTACAGCTTCATTGCCTGTGAGTTCGATATTAATGGATCAAAAATACTGAACATCCAGAAAAAGGAAGAGGGGGTTTACCAACCTGTGTATGAGGCTGCTTCTCCAATTGCTATAGTAACAACTGGAGTGGGTGATGAAACTATGAAGACAATGACTTGACTAAATTTGTGAATTCATGGGGCTATGATCAATGAAATAAAATGTAGCAGACAGCACTGCTGCAAATGTGAAATGGAAAGTAATCTGCACACAGTACCCAAAGTCAGTAAAGTGAGAAACCCTTCTCGGCTAGTGTTCATTACAGGGAAATACTGCATGAAATGCATTATTTGTAAGAAATATCTATTGACTGTGTTTGATATATATTAAAATGTGTCTTTAAATAGAAACATACACACAGGTTATGTATTAAATGGTTATTGAAAATGTGATCAGAGGCTCAAAGCAACTTGTTAGTGTATTACTCCTAAAGAGAGATGGTTCAGAATTCAGTGACTTCACAGAACATAACTGCAGAAAATAATAAAAATAGGCTGTAGATATATTTATACTGTAATTCTATATTTATGAATATACACAGCAAAATTGCTTACACAGCTATGAAAATACATATATGCATGCAAACGTTTATTACATCATTAATATGTTCCAAAAATATTTATTTAGAGAAAAAAGTGAATTGTAGTATTTCTATAACATTCAATGTCACGGGCATTTTAAAAATGAAAAAAGTTCAAACATTGTGATTTACAAAGTTACCTATGTTGTTCATAAGTAGCTGACACATTATGCAGAAAAATATTCATGATATAATCTAATTTTTATTTAAAATAATTCTACATATATTCGTGTAAAAAAAAAAAACCCTAAATATCATACTTATTAATTAACTGATGAGAGACTGGGGAGAGAGGACAGAAGAAGCATTTTACAGTGTTTGAGTTTTATACAATTAACAGTATTCTTTCCATTAAGACATATATATTTATCCAAAGAGAGATCTGTAGGGATTTTTCTTGGAGTATGGCATAATTTTACTTGTCCACTGAATTTTCAGATATGTAGGCATCACAAGCACTTTCATATATGTTTTCATATATATGTTATATGTTAAAAGCCATACATAAATGTTGTGACTGGCAGTTTTCAAAGCACACCAAATAATGTATTAAAAAAGGAAAAATTAGGTTAATAAAACATATTTATTGTAAAATATATAAAAAACATATTTTGTGTAAAATAAACTCCAAAAGGAGCGAGAAGGAGAGCCTAAAGGCAATGAACTAGTAAATAATGTACATAAAAAGAAATTAAAATCCACTGAGACATTCTGAAGCAATAAGATTTCAGAGAGGAGTATTTCAGAAGACAGAAAGCTCTTTCTGAAGCCACATTTGCCAAGAGCCCTCTTTTATGTCTGGCCAAAATGGACGATTTTCCTGGCAGAAAGCCCAATTTGAGGGTCAGAAAACAGAGATTTTGGAATTCTGGTAGAGCCTAAAAGAAAAAAGGAGGCAGCAAAAAGATCTCATTCCAGATGAGAATGGAG